GTAGACACCCGGGTATTGTATGTCCGGAATCACATCTTTTACAGACGGAACCAGATCACGGATTTTATGTAATGTGTTGAAACGGACCTGGATCTTGTGTTTATTCAAGATTTTGGAGATCTTTTTTGTGATCCCCGCAATGTAGGGTAAAGTGATGGTTTTGAAAGGCTCCTCAAGAGGGTCCTTCTTCATGGTTTGAGTGATAGCTTTGCGGATTGTATAGTCGGAGTAACCATTAATCTTAAGAGCTTGGTGTACGTGCTTGAGTTCACTGCCTATGTGTTCCTGGTCGGATATGCATTGGGCTCTATGATACAGAGTCTTGATGAGAGAATTCTTCTGTGATGGATGGTGGTGGGAATCCGGTTTCAGATAAGCATCCGTATAGGTAGCTTTCCTGTAGACAGAGTGGCTCATTGAACCATCGGGTCTCTTTTTAATTAGGACATCCAAAAAAGGTAGCTTGCCATCTATTTCGACTTCCATGGTAAATCTGATGGCTGGGTGTATGGAATTGATGTGGTCGAAGAATTGGTCTAGAGCAGGCCGGCCATGTGGCCAGATGACAAAAGTGTCATCCACATACCTCTTCCATAAGGTTGGGCGCAGAGTGGCAGTCTGGATGGCGTCAGTCTCAAATTTCTCCATGAAAATGTTAGCTATAACCGGAGATAGGGGGGAGCCCATTGGGGTGCCCTCAGTTTGTTTGTGGAAAGTTCCATTCCAAGTGAAGTATGTATTGGTTAAACAGTGTCTCACCAGGGGGGTACCTCAGTGTTTAGTCCTTGATGAACCAAGTCTTCAATGATTGCAATGGTGTCAGGTACAGGAACCTTGGTGAATAAGGAAACTACATCAAAACTGACAAGCAGGTCGTCTGGGGACAGGGAAATACCCTTGATTGTCGATACCAGGTGAGTAGAATTTTGTACCGCAGAGGTGTTTTTTCCAGTGAAAGGACGCAGGATTTCAGACAAAAAAACGAGCCAGTTTGTAGGTGGGGGAGGTGATAGTAGAGACGATGGGACGAAGGGGTGTATCTACTTTATGTATTTTTGGTAAGCCGTATAATCTTGGTGGCCTGGCAGCAGAAGGTTTCAACGAAAACTGTTTAGATTGATCAATTAATGCGGTTGAATCAGAAATTATTTTGTTGGTTTGTGTGACGAGGCTGTTGGTGGGATCTCTTTTTATTTTTGTATAACTACCATCGTCGAGTAATTCTTAAATTTTGTTGTTGTATTCTATTTTATCCATGATGACAGTAGCATTGCCCTTGTCAGCTGAGAGGACTACAATATCATCCCTCTTTTTTAATTTATATAATTCAAAACGCTCATCTTTGCTGAGGTTGCTAGCTAGCATCTTATAAATAAATAAATACACCGTTTAAAAATAAATGTATGCAAACCAACACACCTGAAGACGACCGTTTGTGTTATGGTCGAAACGTCGTGAGAATTTTTATTCTTTAATATATATTTTATTATTTTGTTGTTTCCCTTCAACGTGACTTTACCGAAAGAACTAAGAATATGAATTACTGCAGTCACGAAAGCTTTAAATCAAAATTTTACTACCCATAGACTCAACACTGCCCATAGACTCAACACTGTCCACTGACTCAACACTGCCCATAGACTCAACACTGCCCACAGACTCAACACGGCCCACAGACTCAACGGTCATCCGATTATCGTTATTTTTTAGAACTAACGATTCTATGCTGCATTCAGATCGACGTGCGTTCACAACAGTGGTTCATCTTAACCTGGGGTGCACGCTGCACTCCCTGGGGGTGCGCGATGCCCTTTCTCGTGGTGCAAGACATAGCCAGGTTGTTTCAGAAGGTACATTATCGAGAGACAAATTAAGCTCGCGGCACGTAAGTACAACTACTTTCTTTCATCGAGCCCTATGTATTCATTGTGTGTAATATTTTTTTTCAACGATCGAGAACCAAAGGCGTGCAAGACTGCGGTAAAGTTTAAGAGCCACCGGTTTAGAGTATTTGTCTGCTGTAGGATTTCCACACGATAGGCCACTGAGTTGAGCTATCATTTGCGGCCGGGTCGCTTCTGAAAGAAGAAGCGATAAGCTAAGAAGGCTTTTGCGACCAATATCGTCCATAATAGAGGGGGGCGGGGGGGGGGGTTTGGGTTAGATCACGTTCATGTAAATGTGTCGTTAAACCCGCCACCACAGGACACAGCCAATTAGTAAGGTTTGTCACGTAAACAGAACGTGACAATTCATTGCTAGTCACATAATCACTCACAGTCACATAGTCACTTTAAGATATTTTTCTTGTTCATGTTTTAGTTTTGTTGCGGTTGCTCCCGATTCAAGAGCCGAATGGCTCACAGGGCTATACCAAATAAATGAACTATGGAACTATGGAACTACTAGTACAGCAGCACCGGTGTGTTGTAAATGTTGTGTATTTGCTCTCCAACACACTAGTAACGAATTGCCACGTCCTGTTCATATGACAAACCTTACTAATTGGTTGTGTCGGTTGCTGGTGGGTTTAACGGCACATTCATATTTACGCGATCTAACCCAAAAAAAAAATATATTATGGATCAGTTGGCTTTACCTGCTAAGATAACAAAAAAAAAAACTGTTTAGTTTTATTCGTATAATTTTTTTAACAGTGATTTGTTTACCCTTTCCTATACATTTTGCACTCCTCTCTTGGATTTGTTTGTCTTGTGTTTGTTGTTGTCACCTTCTGAGCCCATGCCCCTACTGGACATCTGTGATAAATAGCTTAATAGCTTATCGGAGATTCCTCTGGTATAAGTACATATTCTGATTCTGTACAAAGCGGCAGGTCAGGCCATGTACGAGAGGAAGCTCCGGGCGGTGATTGGGATCTGTGCTCAGCCTTTATTGGTCATCCCCTCTTCGGGAGACAGTAGAAAGATCCCTGGGTTTGATCTCCCACGAAGCTGCGCATGCTCTACATCTAAACCGCATCCACTGCACAAACCATTGCAGCAGCAGATCCGGATACCTGGTGATGCACGTATGGAAATTAAAAACTCTCCAGTAATAGTGGTGCGACTGTGGTCCTCCAGAATAAGACCGTACGACAGGCAACGACGCAATGCTACGGTCCACAAACATGAAGAGAGAGACATCACAGCGAAGATACACCCCACTTAGTGTACTCATAACGCGGTTGTCTGGCTTGACCCACCTGAATGTGAAATTGCAGTTGTTGCTGTGCATCTTCATCAGCCAATATCAATTACCGTACTGAACCGTACTTCTATGCCCCAATGTCTATGCCGTCCGCCTCCACCAACCGATAGTTGACCACCGGTGGGGTGAGATGTGCACAAATGTGACCCCATGACCTGCACGGCGTGGGCAGGTCCTCACCTCATCAATTAGCATAAACCATCATCACGTGAACTGCAGTCAAGGAACAGAACACACCACACGAACTGCAGTCAAGGAACAGAACAAACCAAGCGAACTGCAGTCAAGGAACAGAACACACCACGTGAACTCCAATCAAGGAGCAGAACACACCACGTGAACTGCAGTCAAGGAACAGAACACACCACACGAACTGCAGTCAAGGAACAGAACACACCACACGAACTGCAGTCAAGGAACAGAACACACCACGCGAACTGCAGTCAAGGAACAGAACACACCACGTGAACTCCAATCAAGGAGCAGAACACACCACGTGAACTGCAGTCAAGGAACAGAACACACCACGTGAACTCCAATCAAGGAGCAGAACACACCACACGAACTCCAGTCAAGGAACAGAACACACCACGTGAACTCCAATCAAGGAGCAGAACACACCACACGAACTGCAGTCAAGGAACAGAACACACCACGCGAACTGCAGGAATCCTCGCAGCAGCGGCTTTTGGCGAACCATCGCAGAAAGATTGTCAACCGCATCACGCGCTTTCAGATGCGCTTCTGCGACCGTCTGGAACGCTCTTCCTTCCGATATGAGGAAGCCACTTTGAGCAATGCATTTTAAAATCATCATCTAGATTGACAAACTAATTTATTTACAAATGCTTTTTGTGTTTAGTCTGTTCTCCTTCCCCCCGCACCTCCGGTTAGCACGGTTGGCGACGTACGGTGCGAAAGAAGTTCAAAAATACACACGAACACAACGTGCTTTCACGTGTAAGACTCGTCTTCCCGTGCGTGTGGTGAGCTCTCCGCCTATATAAGTCACTCTCACCCCGCGTGTGTGCTCGTGTGTGTGTGTGACATCTGTATCATAGCAGTCAGCGCGCTGCGCTACGAACCCAGCAGGTACCCGAGTTCGATTCCCGCTGACGGCCACCACCAGTGGTGACGATTATCTGAACCAGTCCTGGGCCTCCCCTAGGTCGAGTCAGCCTGAATTGAGCACCTGGTGCGGTGTGTAAAACATTGCCATTGGGGAGACAAAGGCGGTAAGGCGTGGTGCTGGCCACCCACCCCCTGCCGCGCCTGTGCCGGCCTTCATAGGTGCTGCTCGCTAACAACACTCGCCCCAACAGTCTGTTACAGGCTACACGGGGAGGTCTTTGTCTTTGCGAAGTAACATTGTAGGGTGCGGTGGTGCAGTGGTCAGCGGGCTGCCGTTCTAACTAGGCGACCTGAGTTCGATTCCCGCTCACCACCAACAACAGTGGCGAATATCTGAACTGGTTCTGGGCCTCCCCTCGGTCGACTCAGCCTGAAGAGATGTGTAAACATCGCCACGGGTGAGACAAAGGCGGCCCGGCGTGGTGCTGGCCACCCACCCACCCCCTCATGCGCCCTGCCGGCCTTCATATTGTACTGCTCGTTAACAGCACTTGCTCCAACAGTCTGTTAAAGCTTCACGGTGTGGAGATATTTTTTTTGCCCCGTCAGCCGCACCTCCGATTGGCATGGTTGGCTAACGTACGGCGCGAAAGAAATTCTACGTATGGCACGTACATACATCGCATTTTTATTTGTGTGGGTGGTGGTTGGTCATTCAGGCTTCATGCTGGGCAGCACCATCAAGTCGCACACCAAGGGCATCTGGATCTGGCCACGCCCGCACCCGCTGGACAAGAAGAGGCATCTGCTGCTGCTGGACACTGAGGGCCTCGGCGAGGTCAACCAGGTGAGGACGGACATCGCCCCGCCCACACCCCCGCCCCGACCCCGCCCCCCCAAGTGCACGCGCGCGCCCCCTCTCGGGGAGACGTCGCTGAGACGCAGGGTGGGGGGGTGCCGGAACTCCCCCCCCCCCGCCCGCTCCTCTGGCTGTACAGCTCAGTGGGCCTTACCTGGGGTAAAATAATAATTATACAAATAGTTGATTGCGGTTTTTTTATTGTTGTAATTGCATAACAGATTGGTGTTTGGTTTAGATCGCGTAAATATAATTGTGCTCATCTTAAATTTTGATTTAAAGCTTTCGTGACTGCAGTAATTCATATTCTTAGTTTTTTCGGTAAAGTCACGTTGAAGAGAAACAACAAAATAACAAAATATATATAAAACAATAAAAAAATTCTCACGACGTTTCGACCATAACTCAAACGGTCATCATCAGGTGTGTCGGTTTGTATACATTTATTTTTAAACGGCACATTTATTTATTTATTTATAAAAACGTTGGCGTCACGCGCAGCGATTGGCAGTTTGCCCAGGACTAGTCCATCTATTTTTTTGAAAAGAGGAGGGGGGAGACGACATTTTTTATAATGTATGCTGTCTGAATGCCACCGTAAGCGTGAACAATCAATCAAGAACTGAAATGATTTATCAAATCTTTCCAATGATTGCTAAGATAGAATCCATCTTCTCGGTTGAAATTGTCTCTATGCTTGTATATGTGGATAGCCTCATGAACGAATCTCTCATGGAAGCCAGATGGCTTACAAAGAACCTCCGTCTTGGAAAAGTCAATGGCATGTGAGCCTACTGAATTAGAACAATCATCTGCTACGGCCGAGGTGTTGGTCCTACCGTGTTTAAGGTCTGCTTTATGTTCACGAATGCGGTCCGAGACATGGCGTTTGGTTTCTCCAATGTAACTACTACCACAGAGGCAACTTAGTTTGTAGACACCAGGGTATTGTATGTCCGGAATCACATCTTTTACAGACGGAACCAGATCACGGATTTTATGTAATGTGTTGAAACGTACCTGGATCTTGTGTTTATTCAAGATTTTGGAGATCCTTTTTGTGATCCCAGCAATGTAGGGTAAAGTGATGGTTTTGAAAGGCTCCTCAAGAGGGTTCTTCTTCATGGTTTGAGTGATAGCTTTGCGGATTGTATAGTCGGAGTAACCATTAGCCCTAAGAGCTTGGTGTACGTGCTTGAGTTCACTGCTTATGTGTTCCTGGTCGGATATGCATTGGGCTCTATGATACAGAGTCTTGATGAGAGAATTCTTCTGTGATGGATGGTGGTGGGAATCCGGTTTCAGATAAGCATCCGTATGGGTAGCTTTCCTGTAGACAGAGTGGCTCATTGAACCATCAGGTCTCTTTTAATTAGGACATCCAAAAAAGGTATCTTGCCATCTATTTCGACTTCCATGGTAAATCTGATGGCTGGGTGTATGGAATTGATGTGGTCGAAGAATTGGTCTAGAGCAGGCCGGCCATGTGGCCAGATGACAAAAGTGTCATCCACGTACCTCTTCCATAAGGTTGGGCGCAGAGTGGCAGTCTGGATGGCGTCAGTCTCAAATTTCTCCATGAAAATGTTAGCTATAACTGGAGAAAGGGGGGAGCCCATTGGGGTGCCCTCAGTTTGTTTGTAGAAAGTTCCATTCCAAGTGAAGTATGTATTGGTTAAACAGTGTCTCACCAGGGGGGGTACCTCAGTGTTTAGTCCTTGATGAACCAAGTCTTCAATGATTGCAATGGTGTCAGGTACAGGAACCTTGGTGAATAAGGAAACTACATCAAAACTGACAAGCAGGTCGTCTGGGGACAGGGAAATACCCTTGATTGTTGATACCAGGTGAGTAGAATTTTGTACCGCAGAGGTGGTCTTTCCAGTGAAAGGACGCAGGATTTCAGACGATGGTAGTTATACAAAAATAAAAAGAGATCCCACCAACAGCCTCGTCACACAAACCAACAAAATAATTTCTGATTCAACCGCATTAATTGATCAATTTAAACAGTTTTCGTTGAAACCTTCTGCTGCCAGGCCACCAAGATTATACGGCTTACCAAAAATACATAAAGTTGATACACCTCTTCGTCCCATAGTCTCTACTATCAGCTCCCCCACCTACAAACTAGCTCGTTTTTTGTCTGAAATCCTGCGTCCTTTCACTGGAAAGACCACCTCTGCGGTACAAAATTCTACTCACCTGGTATCAACAATCAAGGGTATTTCCCTGTCCCCAGACGACCTGCTTGTCAGTTTTGATGTAGTTTCCTTATTCACCAAGGTTCCTGTACCTAACACCATTGCAATCATTGAAGACTTGGTTCATCAAGGACTAAACACTGAGGTACCCCCCCTGGTGAGACACTGTTTAACCAATACATACTTCACTTGGAATGGAACTTTCTACAAACAAACTGAGGGCACCCCAATGGGCTCCCCCCTTTCTCCAGTTATAGCTAACATTTTCATGGAGAAATTTGAGACTGACGCCATCCAGACTGCCACTCTGCGCCCAACCTTATGGAAGAGGTACGTGGATGACACTTTTGTCATCTGGCCACATGGCCGGCCTGCTCTAGACCAATTCTTCGACCACATCAATTCCATACACCCAGCCATCAGATTTACCATGGAAGTCGAAATAGATGGCAAGATACCTTTTTTGGATGTCCTAATTAAAAAGAGACCTGATGGTTCAATGAGCCACTCTGTCTACAGGAAAGCTACCCATACGGATGCTTATCTGAAACCGGATTCCCACCACCATCCATCACAGAAGAATTCTCTCATCAAGACTCTGTATCATAGAGCCCAATGCATATCCGACCAGGAACACATAAGCAGTGAACTCAAGCACGTACACCAAGCTCTTAGGGCTAATGGTTACTCCGACTATACAATCCGCAAAGCTATCACTCAAACCATGAAGAAGAACCCTCTTGAGGAGCCTTTCAAAACCATCACTTTACCCTACATTGCTGGGATCACAAAAAGGATCTCCAAAATCTTGAATAAACACAAGATCCAGGTACGTTTCAACACATTACATAAAATCCGTGATCTGGTTCCGTCTGTAAAAGATGTGATTCCGGACATACAATACCCTGGTGTCTACAAACTAAGTTGCCTCTGTGGTAGTAGTTACATTGGAGAAACCAAACGCCATGTCTCGGACCGCATTCGTGAACATAAAGCAGACCTTAAACACGGTAGGACCAACACCTCGGCCGTAGCAGATGATTGTTCTAATTCAGTAGGCTCACATGCCATTGACTTTTCCAAGACGGAGGTTCTTTGTAAGCCATCTGGCTTCCATGAGAGATTCGTTCATGAGGCTATCCACATATACAAGCATAGAGACAATTTCAACCGAGAAGATGGATTCTATCTTAGCAATCATTGGAAAGATTTGATAAATCATTTCAGTTCTTGATTGATTGTTCACGCTTACAGTGGCTTTCAGACAGCATACATTATAAAAAAAATTCGTCTCCCCCCTCCTCTTTTCAAAAAAATAGATGGACTAGTCCTGGGCAAACTGCCAATCGCTGCGCGTGACGCCAACGTTTTTTTTTTAATAAATAAATGTGCCGTTTAAAAATAAATTTATGCAAACCGACACACCTGATGATGACCGTTTGAGTTATGGTCGAAACGTCGTGAGAATTTTTTATTTTTATATATATTTTGTTATTTTGTTGTTTCTCTTCAACGTGACTTTACCGAAAAAACTAAGAATATGTGCTCATCTTCTTTGGTTCTTTCGGTAAAGTCACGTAGAATGAGAATACAATAATAATGTAGCTCTGTCGTCCCGACAGGTTTGTTCCTTTCACCTGGAGAAGGCCACTTGTGTTGTGGCCGAAACGTCGTGAGAATATTGACTTTACCGAAAGAACCAAAGAAGATGAATCCTTGCAGTCACGAAAGCTTTAAATCGAAATATTATTGTGCTGTTAAACCCGCCACCATTCGACGCAACGAATTAGTGAGGTTTGTCACGTAACACAAAACGTGCCAATTCGTTATTAGGGGCCGTCCATAAATGACGTCACGAGATTTTGGACGATTTTTTTACCCCCCCCCCCGCCGTCGTCACACGGCGTCACAAAAAGTCAGACCCCCCCCCTCAAATATGACGTCACAAAGCTCTGCCTCCCCCCCCAAAAAATGAAACATGCTTCAAATCGCTTTAAACTATTGTCATTGTAGTGCGTATTTAATGTGGCGCTGACACTCTGATGTTGTAGGAGAAAACATTTATTAATAAGTATATTTAATTAAGTAGAACGTGTTGTCTATATTTATTTAAAGTTGCGCATTTTAATGTGACGTCACATTTCTCAAACCCCTCCCCCCTCCCCTCGTCACACATCGTCACAAATGTCTAACCCCCCCCCCCCTCCCAGGTGCGTGACGTCATTTATGGACGGCCCCTTAGTTCAGCACCCCCGTTGTGTGTTGGAGAGTAAAACCCACAACAACATTTACAAATCGACTACCGTGACCTTTCGCCGGTAATTACAACCAGCATGATCAGGCGACCTAACCCAAAAACCTATTTTATGGATAATAGTGGTCGCGAAAGCCTATTACGTGTTGAACTGTACGAACGTGATCATTAGCGATTGAGCTTCACCTCTTAGAAACATTGCAAGTTCTCCGTGTCATCGCAGCACGGTCACCCAAAGGTTCATGGGTGAGAGTTGGCCATCTGTGAAACTGCTGGACATCTGGGGGGGGGGGGGGGGGGGGGGGTGGGGGGGGGGGGGGGAGAGCTTTGTCGTTCATCGGATTCTGAATTGAGACTGCCTTAGAGCCATTCTTAAGGCCCAAGACCGGTCTTGAGAAACCAAGGCTGGGTGAAACTGGGTTCTCAGGCGTTGTGACCGCATGCAAAAATCACATCAAATCCAAATTCTGCTCTATTGCCTTTGTAATTTGTTGTGCTTCCCCCACACCCCCGATTAGCACGGTTGGTTACGTATGGCGCGAAAGCAGTTTAACATACAAACTACTATACACTGTCCAGACCCAACACTGCCCATAGACTCAACACTACCCATACACTCAACACTGCCCATACACTCAACACTACCCATAGACTCAATACTGCCCAGAGACTCAACACTGCCCATAGACTCAACACTGTCCAGACTCAACATCTGCCCATAGACTCAACACTGTCCAGAGACTCAACACTGCCCATAGACTCAATACTGTCCAGACTCAACATCTGCCCATAGACTCAACACTACCCATACACTCAACACTGCCCATAGACTCAACACTGCCCAGAGACTCAACACTGCCCATAGACTCAACACTACCCATACACTCAACACTGCCCATAGATTCAACACTACCCATAGACTCAAGACTGTCCAGAGACTCAACACTGCCCAAAGACTCAACACTGCACATAGACTCAACAACACTCAGTACCTCCGATTAGCACGATTGGCTACGTACGGCGCGGAAGAAGTTCAACGTACGTACATGCAGTACATACGGTGCATACAAAACTCGGTTTATTTCCGTTTAACGTGACTAAATGTCAGCGCTGAGACTTAAAAAAAGTCACTTTGATTGACACTTGACGAACAATCTTCACGAGGGATTAAAAGGTGTGCCCCCAGCGCAACTACGTCGCTTGAAGTCGCTGCAGAAATAGCTGCGTGCTATCATGTTCGGGGTCTTCTTCCTCCTCCTCCTCGTACGGCCGATGTCGATGTAGAGCAACAGCTTTAGTTTTACCACGAGCTGGTTGAGCCACATGATTGCGGTCGGAGTCGCAGGGTGGTGCATCGTCATCGTGATCGCCGTCGTCGTCGTCGTCGTCGCTGCGATGATCCCCTCCTCCGAGTCTCCCGTTATATTCCACGCTTCTGCTCCGAGTGACCACAGTCGCATTCCAGAGATGCAAAATCAATCAATAATGAAAAGCCATCTAAATGCTTTACCACGGGACCATTTTTTTTTTGCCAGCATCAAAGAATGAATAATAAGAATAGGTGTTACCCATTCTGGCAATGAAACAGGTGGTAATATGTTCAGTTTCAGCTTTTCAGTTTCATTTATGAGGTATAACCCCGTGAGCCATGCGGCTCTTGACTCGGGTGCAACTGCAACAAACCAAAACATGAACAAGAAACATCTTAAAGTGACTCCACGCAACAGAAAAATCCACCAAATAGATACCTTTTGCAAAGAATCAAGTCTGAATGAACCACACACGGTGCTGGTGGTGAACATGCAAACAAAACATCCTTTGATAATACATGCATTATCTGTGAAAGCAATTGGCCTACACGAGAGGCGTCTTTATGGCCTAGTCTCACCAGTGTCAGACCACAGAACGCCAAAAGTGCCAGTGTCCTTTACATAATTTACGCAGTGCATCGCGCACGGTTTATTATCTGCTTACCGCAGTTGAGTGTCCTTGTCACTTGACACGACAGAGCACTTTAGAGGATGCGATAAAAAAAAAAAAGTTTTCCCGGCAGTTCGAACCGCACCGACAGCCAACGACGGGGAGTGTCCCGCCGCGCCGCTGCTGCTCAACTTGAGAAATTCGCGCTTTTATAATTCTTAGAAGTGATGCGATGCGGTGGGTGAGGTGGGGGGGGGGGGGGGTTGGTGGGTCACATCATCTCGATGCGTGACCGCTGACAAGCGCCGCTGACGGGAATGGCAGCTGAGCGCACCGCGGCTTCGGAGCGGTCGCTCTGATGCATCGGTCGGTGGTGCCGTCAAGCGTTTGCCTCGGTGTCGGTGACAGCGGCGGTGACGGCTCTATTGTGCAGGAAGGGGACACGGACAACGACCACGACACGTGGCTCTTCGTCATGACCGTGCTGCTCAGCTCCATGCTCGTGTACAACACCACGGGGATCCTGAGCAGGGACGGCTTGGAGCACCTGCGGTATCCTTTACACTGAGCGGGAGGGGGCGCGGGGGGGTGTGGGGGGGGTGTGTGGAGGAGAGGTCGACGACCTTCGCCGATCAAAAATAGTGGCCACCCCGGCAGGGCCTTCGGGCACTCCCCTGTGGGTGTCGGAGGGTCCGGGTGCCTGGCCTCCCGCGGTGTCGCCTCGGTGTGTGTGTGTCTGTCTGTGTTGGACGTGTGGTTGTGCAGAGCGGTAGTGTAGCGGTTAACGCACTGCGCTACGAACCTGGCGACGAGAGTTAGATTCCCGCTCACGGCCAACACTAGTGACGATTATTTGAACCGGTCCTGGGTCTCCACTAGGTCGACTCAGGCTACTCAATTGAGTACCTGGTGCGATGTGTAAACATCGCCACCAGGGAGACAAAGGCGGTCATGTGTGGTGTTGGCCACCCACCCCCTCGTGTGCCTTGTCGGTCTTCATAAGTGCCACTTGCCCCAACAGTCTGTTGAGGCTATACAGGGGATCTGTAGTACGTGCGGTGCGTCCAGTGCGTGCGAGAGGGAAGATTCCTCTGGCACCGCAGTGTGGGTGTCCGAGGGCCAGGGTGCTTGACCTCACGTGGTGTGGCCACGGTGTGCGTGTCTGTGTGGTACTCGTGGTACGTGAGGTCCGTGCCAAAGGGAAGATTCCTCCTGATGTGGCCAAAAAAAGCTCGTGTTGGGGTCGGACGCACATGCCCAGGATAGGTGAGGGCCGGTTGTCGAGACGGGGCATTGGAGTGGTCTCCACGGGTCTGGCGATCAGGGGGAAGAGGAGACCTAAGGGCCGATGTTGAGGGACTTGTCATGGCAGGTGTTGGAGATCACGTGTCCGACTGTGCAGAATTTGTGGGATCTGGCGGAGGGTTGACGACGTTGGTCGTGAACCCAACTACTCCCCAAAATGATCCAAACCGCCCTATCACCCAGCCACCCGACCACCCAACCACCCAATCTCACACCCACCCAAACACGCAGGCGCATAGACACATTCTTCATTCGCGTTCGAGCGTGGTTTGTGTTTACCAAGCGTTTAGACTAATTGGCTGCTGCTGTACACTTCCACACGACGATAAGCCACTTCGTTGAGCTATCACTTGCGATAGCCAGGTCGCTTCTGAAAAATAGCAACATAGGCTCAGTGGGTCATATCTGAAAAAAAAATGAGAGGATATATATCACACCTCCCGCGGCCTCTGTCAAATTTAATTCGAACGATGCCCCTAAATCCTCTGGCTGGCTCCAGCAGCCGAATGCCAGCAACGCGGTCAAAGCCAAGTCAAGCACACACGACCCCCCTACCCCCCCACCGCCTCCTCTCCCCCCTCCCCGCCCCTGCTTGTCCGAGTGCTCGAGGTGGAACGATCTCCCCTGTCCACCGGCGAGTGGAGAGGGCAAAACATCGGGAACGTATCGGCTGGACCTGCCGACGGTGGGCTGCACTTGCGACGGGTGTTGGGGTAACGCCGCAGCTTTGCCCAGTGGCGTCTCGGGGTGGTTTGCCCTTGGCCGCTCCGATGTTCAAATTCTTCCCACTCCCTCCTAGGGCCCCTTAACGGCCCGCGCACTCGATAAGCCACGCCGCCGGCCGGTGCTGCCGTGCCCTCGTCTGCTTGCGATGCACCGCTGCGTAGCACGGGTGGCTACGCAGCGGTGCGAAGGCAGTTCAACATACGCGCGTACGCACGGAAGCATCCGGAAGGAGGTTGGTCTCCTGCGTTTCGACGTCCGTTCCTTCCACAATGTTTGGTGGTGGACAGCAGCAGCATCATGTGCGAGTTTCTTTCACCGTAACTCAAGTGTCGGGACCAATGGGAAATATTCAGTGTTCAAGCCTGAGTGCCACTAATGGAGCCAGGTACTCCTCGTCTCTGTGTGTGAGCCACCAACCCGTGCGCGCTCACGTCTCGTCTGCGCCGCGCGTCTTTTCGCGATGGTGTTGAGTGGGGGAGCGTGTGAGTGGCGGGTAGTGTGTGTGCACGTATGTGTCTGGGGTGCGGTAGCGCAGTGGTTAGCGCACTGCGTTCCAAACCTGGCCACCCCGGGTTCGATTCCCGCTCACGTTCGACACCGGTGACGATTATCTGAACCGGTCCTGGGCCTCCCCTAGGTCGACTCAGCCGCAAATGAGTAACTGGTGTGTAAACAAAACAAAAAAACGCCACCCACTGGGGAAACAAAGGCGGTCGGGCGTGATCGTTGTCACCCACCCCCTTCACGTGCCGTGCCGGCCCTCCTAGGCCGCTACTCGCTAACGGCACTTGCCTCAACAGTCTGCTAAGGCTATACGGGGGGGAGGGATACCTTTGTCTTTGTGTGTGCGTCACACGATCCCCAAAGAGAGAGAGCTGTCCCCGGTGTGGGTGGTGCAAGCTGTGCCTCGTGGTTGACGGGTCACCGTCTCCCCCAAGGTGCACGCTGCCCCCACCGCCCCACCATCATCATCCATCATCATCATCGCGTGTCCCGACTCCGCGTAACTGCAGTTGCAGACCAATGTTTGGCAAGACGGACCGGTGATCTTCTACGATGTGACATCTAGGATTCAAACATTCCGACTCCTGGGGGGGGGGGGGGGGGGGGTGGATGAATCCTGTGCTCTATAGATCCGCTTAAAAATCTTTCCACGGATTTAGAGATTCGTGTTTTTTTTTAATCTCTATCACATGTTACGGGGCTACATATTCCTACCTCACCGACACGCGTACAAGTACATACAGATACACGCACGCGTGTATTTAGGTTGCAACCCAACCAGGTTCTCCCAGATAAAACCGCGTGTAAAGTCAATTCACGCGACTCTCACAGGAAGCAAGCGCATCAAGCCCGTGGCGAAGAACGCCACTCGAGAAGGTGACATGGCAGAGCCTTTTCTGAGGTCGCCTTCCGCCCGTTGCCCCGTAGACACACTCGTTGGTGCCGCTCATTCTCGCTCACGCAGCCAATGGAGGCGTCCGTCGCGTGACACACGCAGGGTTCACGCCCGGCACGGAACTCGTATAAGACCGAGTCACGTGACGAATCGCGATACGATTGTTTAATCGGCCATCGTGGCCATTGGCTTTAAGCCTCCCCTTGGAGCCCAACAATGCTGCAAGGTCTTCCCGGGACACCACGAGCAGCCACGCCGTTGAGACCCCTTGACATTTTAAAAGTACGGCCCCTTCTCCGAAAGCTTCGGGTGTCCGGATTTTTCGCATCCATGGAGGGGGTGGGGGCGAAAGGGGGGCGGAGGGAGGCGGAGGGAGGGGGGTTGACTTGTGACCCGCTACGGTCAATTATCATCACGAGCATTCCTGCCAGGCGCACCGCGGGCGACAATGACCCATGTGGCGCGGTCGTGTCACCAGCTAAGCTACGTGTGGATTTTACAACCCCCACCAACCCCACCCCCCCCCCCCCCACTCTTTAATCTTGTGGCCGCCGCTGAGTTATGGCCTCCTAAATACGGGTGTTTGGCAAGAGGACAGCGACCTTCATTTAAACAAAACAAGAACCAACATGCCCAGGGGAAGAGCTCACCGCCAGAGGGGAGAGGGCTGCCAGTCCGGGTGCCAGGCGTCGTGTGTGTTTGTCGTGTCTATATGGGGAGCGGCGACGTGATGGGGGGATCGGTGGTGTGGCGGTCTTCGGCAAAGCAATCATCGTTCTCTGCTGAGGACAGCGTGGAGTTAATATTAAATTGGGCACAAATCGAAACGAACGCACACGCACAGCCCCGTGGCTCGTGGCTCGTGGCAATGCATCCACGCTGTGTCCTGGGATGTCCCACGACGTGTGTGCTGTGCTACGAACACGGCAACCCGAGCTCCGATTCACGCTCGCGGCCAACGCCAGTGACTATTATTCGAACCGGTCCTGGGTCTGGCCCTAGGTCGACTCAGTCTCAAATGAGCACCCGGCGCGGCGTGTAAACATCGCCACCGGAGAGACAAAGGCGGTCGGGCATGGTGTTGGCCACCCACCCATAGATGCGCGCTAGTAGCACTTGTTTGTATGTTCGCACGTGTGAATCGCCCATCACCAAGGGTGGAAATCACCACGGTGGCGTTTTGTCAAGATGTAGATCTGGCCCTTGACCGTGATTTGACCCAGCGTCATGAGTTGATGTTCAACGTTACGGAGATAATCTTAAAAGACACTCTGACAACCATCCCTCTTATTTGAGAAGGCACAACCGGGGACACATGGTGAGCTGGCAGCTCCTCCGCTAGCCCCGCCCACGCAGGTAGCCCCACCCACTGCTCAGGTAAACCTGCCCACTAACGGGGTAGCCCCGCCTACTACTCAGGTAGCCCCACCTACTACTCAGGTAGCCCCGCCTACCACTCATGGAGACCCGCCCACTAACGAGATAGCCCCACCCATCACTCAGCCAGCCCCTTCCGCTACCAAGATATCCCCATCCCACTCCTCAGGTAGCTCCACCGCATCAACGTGAGTTGGACACGATGCCAGACAGCGTTGAGGCGGTGACAACATCGTGATGTTTCCAAATACTTCGGACCACCAGGGAGAGACGTTTGTTGGAACCACCGGACACTGTCCCGGCCAACACCAGGGCGTTTGGTATCTTGACGTGTTGATGATGGATGATCGATGATGATGATGATGTAATTTTTGTTTAAAATGTGGCCGTTTACCTTAACCACGCGTGTGCCATCACCACGACGCAGATTCGTGCTCAACCTCACGGACCACCTGCGTACGGACGCGCGGCAGAACGCCCACGAGCCTGGCTCGGACTTCGGCAGCTACTTCCCCTCGCTGGTGCTATGCCTGCGAGACTTCACCATGAAGCTGGAGGTGAACGGCGAGGCGTGCACTTCGGACGACTACATGGAGCACTTCCTGAAGATGCGCGTCGACCCTCAGGAGGACGGCCAGGAGGTGAACGCGCAGAGGCAGCTGCTGTGCCAGTACTTCAAGGTGGGTGTCGGTAAACAAACAACAGAACCGGGCCAGGACGAACTAACTGTCCACTTCACTTTATTGTTTTTTTTTTACGTTTTATTTCAGAAGCGACCTGGCTTTCACAAACGATGGTGGAAAAATGTGGCTTATCATCGTCGTGTGGAAATATAGAGCGCAGCCAATTACTCTAAGCGCGTAATGTTGATTCCAAATGTGGAGGGGAAAATGTCGGGAAAAAATCCACGCGACCATGCAAACTCCAAATATACAGCAGCAGGCGTCAGAGTCGGGATCGAACCCACGACCTCCTGCATACCTGGAGAGGTACTTAACATCCCGCCACCGTGGGTGGGGCAGGCCTTCCCTGCGCCAGCCCCGCCCACTTTTACGTGGCCACGCCCACTCAAACACGAACCCCGCTCACAGAGTGAGCGGCCTCCTCGCTCTGATGCTTGGCCCTAACTCCTGGTCACAAACCCCATCTAATCCTCAATCAATCCCACCCACCGCACAGGTAGTCCTTCGCTTTTCCAGTACACGATCATTGGTCGAGCATGAGGCCAGCAAATGCTAAACTGCAGACAATATCCACATGCTCGCAAATTCATCACAACAACAATTAGTAGCTAAATACTGAGAACACGGAATCGTACCTGGTTTTCAGCTGCCCGTGCTTAAACCGCGATCTCGAGTGTAGGCGAGCTAATGATCTCAGCCCTGCCCATAGGACAATGACGGTGAGACCTTCCCACAAATCCGACCGCTCAGTTATTTTTATCGACCTGAGAGCGACGCCGGATGATTCCGTGAATTCACCTCCGAATTTTTGGGCGGCCGCTGAACTCATCGCTACCTTCCTCCCTTCACCGTCGCTAGCGGAGTACGCTAACCACAGCCATGCCACGCGACCCACTGCCGATGAGGCCCCGTTACCACGGCGGGGGGGGGGGGGGTGCGAACACTGTATTTTTTTATTGACCGCTCATTGTTAATTTTAGACGTCCAAATTAAAAGTGTCGCCCGCCATAAATTATTGTAAACACGGCGTCGCTGTTAGCGCTGCCAAGAGCAGCCAAGGTTTGGGCTGTCGGCGACATTGATTCATCTCTCTCCCTCTCCCCCACTCATCGCCCCGTCGCACCCAGCTCACGGGTGGTGATTTCTTTCCAAGGCTTTTTTTGCCACCGGTTGGGCCCATCCTGCGCCTCTGGCCGTTTGTCGTAGGGGGCTTTAACCCGCTCGTTGGTTGTGTAATTGTGCTGAAAGGTGTTTTGGGGGGGGAGGGGGTGGAGGTGGGGGGTGGAGGGGGGCCCTCGCGTAGTGTCCTCTGGCGGGCAAGCGCGCTCAGGCGAGCAGCTCAAATTGGGGGCTCGAGAGGTGGCGTGAAAAAAAAAAGGCAAACACTTTACGCGGACGACTGCGTCGCGCCGTGCTCGATTTAGCACGCGGTTGGCTACGTAAAAAGTTCAGCGTATGCGTGTGCATGCGTAACAACTCAACTCGTGTCGTGGTGTTTTGTTTTAGTAGACCGAAACAGCTTGCGATATTAATTTGCTGGGATTAGCGACACGCGTCGAATATGTGTAGCGATAAAAAAAAATACCTTGTAATTATTACCACAATGATGGATTGTTCCCCTTGGATTTAAAGCAGTTGCGTTCATCTGGTGTGTGCAGGGCGATAATAATTGGCGAATGCGAGAAGTGATATCCTACATTTTATAGCTCGAGTTGGTCTGGGTCAGAGGTGTAGCCCTGGCTAGGGCTGGAAGCAAAATCATGAATTTATTTATCCTAATTTATCTGTAGCTCTAGTCCAGTTTAGCCTAGCGTTTGTATATATCTCTAGCCCGGTATAGATTCGTGTTTGGCTAAATCGCTAGCCCGTTTTAGCCGTGAATTTGACTAAATCTCTGTCCCGGTTTATAGTCATGTTTGGCTATAACTCTAGCCCGGTTTAGACTCGTGTTCGGCTCTGTTTCTAGCCCGGTTTAGCCTGGCATTTGGATTTATCTCTATCCCGGTTTAGACTCGTGTTCGGCTTTATCTCTAGCCCGGTTTAGCCTGGCATTGGGATTTATCTCTATCTCGGGTTTGCAGAGAATTTGGCTAAATCTCTGACCCAATTTAGCCTCATGCGGCAACTGACACCGCATGACATCACTTGCCGTGCCCCTCCCGCGCCCCTCCCACCCCACCCTCCCACTCTCGCACAGGAGCGCAAGTGCTTCATGTTCCCTAAGCCCACGGACCTGCGGAGCCTCCTCAACCTGCAGAAGCTGCCGGATGACAAGCTGGATGAGCTGTTCATGGAGACGGCCAACTCCTTCACGGCGTACACCATCGACACGGCGCGCCTCAAGCACATCAACGGCGCCGTCTTCTCTGGCCTGGGTGAGCGTGATGTCACCGATTCGGCAGCTCGGGTTTCGTCGAATTTTCGGGGGTTCTGCCTCCTCGTGCCAAGTGTCTCGTCTCCCTTTTCCATACCTCATCTCCCGTGTCTCATCTCCTATCTCCCGTGCACCCGGCTCCGCGTGCGCTCAGCGCTGGTGCGGCTGGTGGAGGAGTACGTGGGTGCCGAGCGCCGCGGCGCCGTACCGTGCATTGAGAGTGCCCTGCGCGCCGTTCTCACCACCACCAACCGTGAGGCCAAGCAGGCCGCCATGACGCTCTACACTGCCAGGATGGCCCATGCCAACCTCGAGGTGCGTGCATGGGGCTTAGAACCCCCCCTCCCACTTCCCCCTCCCTGCTCGCCGGTGTGGAAGAGTAGGCCAACACGAACCCCCTCCTGGAGGAGCTCTTCCTGTAGCACGCGGCGGAGGCAGTGGCTCGAGGGAGTAATCACAGGGCTGCGCCTCTTGCCTTGTCTCCTGCAGCTGCCGCTGCCTATGCAGCTCATCAACGGGTATCACCAGGAGGCAGTGGAGCCTGCGGTGTGGCTCTACCACGAGCTTACCATGCTGGACCGTGACCACCTGCAGGAGAAGGAGCTGCTGGTGAGACGAGCTTCATCTCCTTTGATCCACCATTCCTCCGCTCATTCATCCGCTCGTTCTTCGTTCATCCATCTGTTCATTCGTCTGTTCCTTTGTTTGTCCGTTCACATGTCCATCAATTAATTAACTCAAGTCTTTCTTTTCTCTTTGGTTGAGCCAGACAGTGTTGTCACCTGTTCTGGCTTTTTCAGGATCGTCCCCTTGTTGAGGAGGCAGCTGCTGCCCTCTGTAAATCTCTAACTCTTCCTGGGACATTACGAGTCCCGGGATTTTGGTTACGTAATAATGCACAGCTCTATCCACACAGCACACCGCACCTGAGCTACATCACCACTCGCTCATTCCCTTCGTTCACCATCTACGGCAAAGTGTCCACCTCCCTGCCACCCTCCCCCACTCTCCTCCCTACCTACCTACTTCGCATCCCTATTTTCCTCCATCCCCTCCCTACCTTTCCCCTCCTCCCCTACCTCCCTCCTTCCCTTGGTACCTCCCTCCACCTCTCCCTTCCCACCTCCATCCCCTCCCTCCCTCCATCACCTCCCTACGCTCCCTACCTCTCTCCTTCCCTTGCTACCTCCCTCCACCCCTCCCGTTCCTCACTCCCTCCCTCTCCTCCTACCTTCCTTCTCTTTCCTCCCTTTACCTCCCCCCTATCCTCCATAACCCTCCACCCCCCCACCCCCCACCCACCACCCCATCAGGTGGAGCTTACGAGGGAGTACGCGAGGCTGATCACGCGGAACAGCGAGGTGTCGTGGCAGCGCTGTGAGCGCCGGCTGCTGCAGCTCTACCAGCCCATCAGGGAGAAGGTGGACCGGCAGGAGCTGCACAAGCCTGGTGGCTACCGCAAGTTCCGAGCCCTCGTCGACAAGGTGCACGACGACTACTACGAGGTGCAGACGCGCGAAGAGGAGGTGAGGCCCCCCCTGACGATAGTCGCTTCACTGTCACCGCCGCTCATCCACCTGCGGCAAGGAGTCTATCGGAAGCCCCTTCTGGCTGCAAGGCCTTTAACGGAGATCTCGTCCGGTGGCAAGGCCTCTAGCAGAGGTCTCGTCTGATGGCAAGGCCTCTGGTGGAGGTCCCTTCTGGAGGCAAGGACTGCGGTGGAGGTCTCTTCTGGCCACAAGGCCTCTAGCGGAGGTCTCTTCTGGCCACAAGGCCTCTAGCGGAGGTCTCTTCTGGCCACAAGGCCTCTAGCAGAGGTCTCTTCTGGCCGCAAGGCCTCTAGCGGAGGTCTCTTCTGGCGGTCTCTTCTGGCCGCAAGGCCTCTAGCGGAGGTTTCTTCTGGCCACACGGCCTCTAGCAGAGGTCTCTTCTGGCCACAAGGCCTCTAGCGGAGGTCTCTTCTGGCCACAAGGCCTCTAGCGGAGGTCTCTTCTGGCTGTAAGGCCTCTAGTGGAGGTCTCTTCTAGCCACAAGGCCTCTAGCGGAGGTCTCTTCTGGCCACAAGGCCTCTAGTGGAGGTCTCTTCTGGCTACAAGGCCTCTAGCGGAGGTCTCTTCTGTCCACAAGGCCTCTAGCGGAGGTCTCTTCTGGCGGTCTCTTCTGGCCACAAGGCCTCTATTGGAGGTCTCTTCTGGCAGCAAGGCCTCTAGCGGAGGTCTCTTCTGGCCACAAGGCCTCTAGCGGAGGTCTCTTCTGGCCGCAAGGCCTCTAGTGGAGGTTTCTTCTGGCCACAAGGCCTCTAGTGGAGGTCTCTTCTGGCCGCAAGGCCTCTAGCGGAGGTCTCTTTAGGCCACAAGGCCTCTAGCACAGGTCTCTTGTGGCCACAAGGCCTCTAGCGGAGGTCTCTTCTGGCCACAAGGCCTCTAGCAGAGGTCTCTTCTGGCCACAAGGCCTCTAGCAGAGGTCTCTTCTGGCGGCAAGGCCTCTAGCAGAGGTCTCTTCTGGCCACAAGGCCTCTAGCGGAGGTCTCTTCTGGCCACAAGGCCTCTAGCAGAGGTCTCTTCTGGCGGCAAGGCCTCTAGCAGAGGTCTCTTCTGGCCACAAGGCCTCTAGCGGAGGTCTCTTCTGGCTACAAGGCCTCTAGCGGAGGTCTCTTCTGTCCACAAGGCCTCTAGCGGAGGTCTCTTCTGGCCACAAGGCCTCTAGCAGAGGTCTCTTCTGTCCACAAGGCCTTTAGCGGAGGTCTCTTCTGGCGGTCTCTTCTGGCCACAAGGCCTCTAGTGGAGGTCTCTTCTGGCTACAAGGCCTCTAGCGGAGGTCTCTTCTGTCCACAAGGCCTCTAGCGGAGGTCTCTTCTGGCGGTCTCTTCTGGCCACAAGGCCTCTATTGGAGGTCTCTTCTGGCAGCAAGGCCTCTAGCGGAGGTCTCTTCTGGCCACAAGGCCTCTAGCGGAGGTCTCTTCTGGCCGCAAGGCCTCTAGTGGAGGTTTCTTCTGGCCACAAGGCCTCTAGTGGAGGTCTCTTCTGGCCGCAAGGCCTCTAGCGGAGGTCTCTTTAGGCCACAAGGCCTCTAGCAGAGGTCTCTTGTGGCCACAAGGCCTCTAGCGGAGGTCTCTTCTGGCCACAAGGCCTCTAGCAGAGGTCTCTTCTGGCCACAAGGCCTCTAGCAGAGGTCTCTTCTGGCGGCAAGGCCTCTAGCAGAGGTCTCTTCTGGCCACAAGGCCTCTAGCGGAGGTCTCTTCTGGCCACAAGGCCTCTAGCAGAGGTCTCTTCTGGCGGCAAGGCCTCTAGCAGAGGTCTCTTCTGGCCACAAGGCCTCTAGCGGAGGTCTCTTCTGGCTACAAGGCCTCTAGCGGAGGTCTCTTCTGTCCACAAGGCCTCTAGCGGAGGTCTCTTCTGGCCACAAGGCCTCTAGCAGAGGTCTCTTCTGTCCACAAGGCCTTTAGCGGAGGTCTCTTCTGGCGGTCTCTTCTGGCCTCAAGGCCTCTAGTGGAGGTCTATTCTAGCCACAAGGCCTCTAGCGGAGGTCTCTTCTGGCCGCAAGGCCTCTAGTGGAGGTCTCTTCTGGCCGCAAGGCCTCTAGCGGTGGTCTCTTCTGGCCGCAAGGCCTCTAGCAGAGGTCTCTTCTGGCAGTCTCTTCTGGCCACAAGGCCTCTAGTGGAGGTCTCTTCTGGCTACAAGGCCTCTGGTGGAGGTCTTTTCTGGCTACAAGGCCTCTAGTGGAGGTCTCTTCTGGCAACAAGGCCTCTAGTGGAGGCCTCTGCTGGCCACAAGGCCTCTAGCGGAGGTCTCTTCTGGCCACAAGGCCTCTTGCGGAGGTCTCTTCTGGCCACAAGGCCTCTAGCGGAGGTCTCTTCTGGCCACAAGGCCTCTAGCGGAGGTCTCTTCTGGCCACAAGGCCTCTAGCAGAGGTCTCTTCTGGCCACAAGGCTTCTAGCGGAGGTCTCTTCTGGCCACAAGGCCTCTAGTGGAGGTCTCTTCTGGCCACAAGGCCTCTAGCGCAGGTCTCTTCTGAATGCTAGGCCTCTAGTGGAGGCCTCTGCTGGCAGCCCCTTTTACCAAACAGTGGTGTGAGCGAGCCAAAAATGGCTCGCTCACACCACTGTTAACCTTTGGAGGTGTGAATACGCCGCCAGAGGTTAACTGCTGCCGCGTCACGTGAACACGCCGCACCATACATGAACCACATGAGCCGTCGACGGCTCGTGGAGGAAAAGTTTGTAGCTAACTCTATTTTGTTTGTTTTTGCCAATTACTTTCTAGCAATCGCGGCGTGAGCTGAATCACTAAAACTTCACTTGGCGACCCCGTCGACGTTAAATGGAGGTTGACGGGGGGGGGGGGGAATAAAAACATTTGAATTGGGTTCTCAAATGCTCAAATGGGATGCGGAGGCCGTCGTTCATTAGAGCAATGCCTCTGCATTTTATTTTTCGATGCATTCTGCTCGTTTCAAGTTTTTTTATTTTTTTACTTTTTACACAGCTGGAAAATGTCTACAAGCTGTTCATGGACCGCAGAGACATGGACGGGAAAGTCATACTCAGGGCCGACAGGAACGTCACCGACGCGGAGAAAAACGAGATCGGTGAGAGTTCGTCTTTCTTCCTTTTTGTTTTACAATTTTTTCCGACAACAACAACAACAAAAACAACAAACAAAGGCAGGTGCTCGAGGAGGCGTTGAAAGCGCGACGCCCCGACAGGAGAGCCTCAGCACCTCGACGCATGACGCATCGTCGCGATCGGGCGGGCGACAAAAATTGAGGTGAAGCGAATAGATAACGAGCCAGACGAGAGGCTCCGATTACGACTCTCATTGTGACATGGGTCCAACGGGGGCGGGGCGGGGGGGGGGCAGGGAGGTGGGGGGTGGGGCTGTGGCTTGAGATGGCTCCTGCAAAGAGACACCCAACTTGTCCGCCGTCCAGCCCGGGAGCGAAATGCTCCACCACGGATCGGATTTCCGCACCGGTGGAGCTCGCACACACACACACTTACACATACATACACACACACATACACACACATACACACACACACACATACACGCACACACACACTCACACACATACACACACTAACACACATACACACTCACACACACACTCACACACACACTCACACACACACTCACACACACTCACACACATACTCACACACATGCATACACTCACACACACTCTCACACACACTCACACACTCACACACATACACACACACTCACTCACACACATACACTCACACACACTCTCACACACACTCACACACTCACACACATACACACACACACTCACACACACACTCACACACACTCACACACACTCACACACATACACACACACTCACTCACACACATACACACACACACTCACACACACTCACACACACTCAGACACATACACACACACTCACTCACACACACTCACACACACTCACACGCACATACTCACACACGTGCTCCCACACACGGACACACACATACACACACGTGCACACGCACACACTCACACACGTGCTCCCACACACGGACACACGCATACACACATACACACACGTGCACGCACACACTCACACACGCGCTCCCACACACGGACACACGAGCACACACATACACACACGTGCACGCACACACACTCACACACGCGCTCCCACACACGCTCCCACACACGGACACACACATACACACACGTGCACGCACACACACTCACACACGCGCTCCCACACACGGACACACACTCACACACGCGCTCCCACACACAGACACACGAGCACACACATACACACACGTGCACGCACACACACTCACACACACGCTCCCACACACGGACACACACATACACACACGCTCACGCACACATGCTCACACACGCACGCATGAGCACATGTGCGAATACACACGCGCGCACACGCGCTCACACGCACGCACACCCGCATACACATGATCCCCATGTAGCCTTAACAGAATATAGGGGCAAGTGCTGTTAGGGACAACTTATGAATCCCGGCACGGTGCCCGAGGGGGTGGTGTGGCCAGCGCCAGGCCCGGCCGCCTTTGTCTCCCTCGTGGCAATGTTTTACAAATCACGCCAGGTACTCATTTGAGGCCGAGTCGACTTAGAAGAGGACCCAGGATCGGTTTCGTGTGAAGAGATAATGCCGAACCCCAGGATCTCAGCAATGCCAGCCCAGCCACCTCTGAAACCAGGAGTGCATTATTTACTGAGATGTGGCTGCGATGACCAAGGGGGAAGAAGCTCCTGGCTGGGAGCGTCTGGGTGGCACATGGGCTTAGGTCTTCGGGCGTAAGAGAGTGAAGGAGGGGTTTGGGGGGGGGGGGTACGTGACTCGCTGACTCGGGGTCGCCTTAACACTGAGCCAGAGACTCCAGCACAGCTGAGCAGCTCGGGAGATCAAATCCTGCTCACAGCCGGCCCAAGGCTAACTCGGGTACACAAGTGTAGCGAGATTTTAATAGCCTCGTCCCCGTAACCAATTAATCCATCGTATTAGGTTGTTCTTTTTTTATTCGTTATCTTTGGCCAATTCCATCACTGAGAATTAGAAATGTTGCTTTTTTAAAATTTAAATCTGGCGCTCTCGAGGTGGGGGAGGGGTGTGTGGTGGGCGGCCCTGGGCAGCTGCGAGCTGCCTCGTGTCTTGATGAGTCGGCGCGGAGGTAATGATCGCCTGGGTTAATTTTAGTACGGAGCGGCGTAAGTGAATCCCGACCGTCGTTACGCTCGCTCATACCTGACCACGTGTCCCGGTCATCCAGACCCCCCCCCCCCCCAACTTCACCACCCTCCCTCTTTCTCTCTTTATCTTATTGACATTTTCAGATCATTATTATTTTGTCCTCCCAATGCAAAGTCGGCCCATAATTTTCACCGTGGTCGATATCATTAGTGTATCGCTTTTCTGCGTTCGTCACAACGGGAAAAACTCGCACCGCTCTCCCCCCACCCACCCACCATAGGAATGTAGAATTTCCACCACTGGCTTCAGGGCTAAAAGTGGAATATGAGCAACTGTCTCGTCTACGCTCATATGAGCAAGAGATCGCTTTCACACTTTGTAATTAATCCCAATCCGCGCTACAGGCGCCGCGTAATGACATGAACAATCCATTTGGATCGCACAAATCAGAGCAGCTCCGCGTGTTCTGGAGCGAACCAGTGAAGCGGATATCAGAGAGTAACCTCTGAGATCCATTCCAGGTTCAAAAGACCTCTGGGCCACACAGCATGCAGTAGAGTAATGTTAAATCGCGTGACACTCAAACTGACGTTTTAAGTCTCGACAGCTGGAAGTTAGAGAAACTTAAGTGTAAACGCTGATTTTACGTGGTGCTTTTACTTGTTTAATTTTGAATGTGAATTCATTGGTGACCGGGCTGAGACCATCAACTCACTGCACACTTGAGACGCACGCCAGTTCAATCACATGCAGTGGCTGGACTCTGATCCCAGGATCTCAGCGGTGCCGGCTCAGCGTCTCTCGGCCACCTGGGCCACCTTCCCCAATTCAGAATCATAATATGTATTTATTTACGCCGGAGGAATCCGACGAGCAACAAAGCTCGTTCCTTCTCATCCGCACCAACGTCCTCTCCTTGCTCATACGAGACTCGTCTTCATTGGCTGCGAACCATAAGCGGAGCGGTGGGCGTTCCACGATTCTATGCCGGGAGCCAGAGAGGTTTTAGGTGCTTCCCACGACACCGTGCGCATTTTGTTGGGAGGGATTGTTGTTGCCGAGTCAAAAAACCCCATCCGACGATTTGAGCTTGTCGGTAAAGGGGCAAAAAGTGCAGCCTCGCAATCGCCTCTCTAAACCAACCCTGGTCTGCAAACTGAATACTCCAGACACGCAGCGCAAAACCGGCCGCACGCGAAAATGAAATTCGTCTTTTAATATTAAAGGTCGCTTTCATTCTTATCTCTTAAGCCCCTCTCCGCCGGAACATGATTGATGTAACGGGCGGTGACATTGAACAAAGTTGGGGGGGGGGGGGCGTGTTTGACTGCAGCGACAAAGCTGGCAGAGGGCAATGTCGCTCACGGCCTGATGATGGGAGCCAGAGATTTTTAAAATTTTATTTTGCCTGGCCTGTCCGGGGAAATATTTCCATGCCCGGCACACCACGTCCAACATGTACGCCTCTCGCTATGGCTGTGACTACTTATCAACGTGCTTACACCAGTCTACCAACGGCCAAGAGCGTAAGATAAATGTTGAAGTACAGCCCTGAAATCCCCGCCACTGCTGGCGGGGAGGGCCTCCACTGGAAGGAGCTGTCGACGAGGCTCCTCTGTAGGGAATGTTTGGCCTACTCTTCCACGTGGTGCCAGACGTCTCGGAGGAATAGGTGCGAGTACTCACGGTTCACCCCACGACGACGACCTTGCCGATAGACTCATAGCGCCGTTCCCATTCGCGCTGCTGCTGCTGCTGCGGACGGAGGAGCGGCCGATGGAGATTTAAGAACGCTGCGCGCGGTTGTTTCAGCTGCCACGCGGGGACGTCCAGTGCGGAACTGGCGACCTCTGCGCTAAGCATCACCAACCACGGCAAACCGGGAGGAATATTCAGCAATGAATGAAGCCCTGGACGAAAGAGGGAGAGGACAAGATGAAATAAGTTGGGGGAAAAATGGACTGCTCAGCGGAATGTGTTTCCAATTATTATTATTACAAGGCTGGAATCTGTTCTAACTTTGGGATATTTTTTTTTTTAAATATCTCGGCTGAATCTTACCTCTCCGAAGCTAATGAGCAAATCTTTGGACGAGCTCTTGGACCAATCTTAAATGGATCCACGGCTCGTTAGCAAGTACCGCAGACTAATTAGTAAAAAAGGGCCCCCTGGCAATGACATTTAATTACCCATCGCCCATCGAAAATACCCACAGGCATAAAACCACGAAAGATACCCACGGAAATAACTCCCCCCCCCCCCCCCCCCAACGAAAAAAGAAACATATCTTTTTTTAAAACAGTGCTGTTTAATGTATTGTATCACAGATAAGGGGAATTGTCGTGATAATAACAATGCATTTTATTTTTAATTGACGCAGGAAATCCCCGTTGAGTCCCAGGACTCTGCTGAGGGGAGTTAAGTCGTGGGCCGTTTGGGCCATTAGGAAATCCATAATCGATTGTTTTAGTTTTTTGTGGTTAGATCGCACGAATATAAATGTTGTCGTTAAACACGCCCACCACCAGAACCCGACGAATCCGATTAGTTAAGGTTCGTCATGGAAAGAAAACGTGCCAAATTCGTTACTCGTTCAGCACCAACCGGCGTGTGTGTGTGTGTGTTGGAGACTGGTTTTGTGGTAATTAATTGAAGGCGGAGGGGTTACCAGCCCCTGGCACCCGTCCAAAGACCCCATTAGGCCACTGTGGTGGTCACAGACGCCACGAGGTGAGAGGCCAATCGTAATTGGCCCTCCCCCACAGCACTGTCCACGACAGCGTTGCCCATCCGGCATCATCAGGCGACAGCCAGAGTAGGAGAAAACCCCACGCACGCCGAGGGAGGAGGGCACGCTCATGACTCGCGCGCAGATTCGCGCGTGAACACGCGCGGGCCTTTTGCGAGTCCGCGGCCGGATCGAGTGCCCTCTCAATATTCCGCCGCGCTGGTCAGCGTGACGTTGGGAAGCCGTAGATGTGGGAGAATAGCCTATAACTAATTTGTTTTATTTTTATTTTACCAGGTAAGACCCACTAGGCTATAGAGCTATTTTTCAGATGCGACCTGGCTATCACCAATGATAGCTCAACAAAGTGGCTTATCACGTGAAACATTTTATAGCGGCCAAATACTCTAAACGGGCGACGTCGATTCTAAATGTGAAAGAGAAAAACTGGAGGGCCCAGGGGAAAAATACAGGCGACCGCGGGGAGAGAGTGAGACACAAACTCCAAATATGCAACGTGCTTTAGGGTCGGGATCGAACCCACGAAATCCTGCATACCAGGGGAGGTAGTTAACATCTCGCCACCGCGGCGCCCGCAGAACAGGACCTAACATCAATATATACAGTGCACTTCCGTCTGCGGCTCACAGTGCGGCCCACAGCTTGGCCCTACAGCATGGGCCACAATGTGGCCCAAAGAGTGGCCCACAGTGTGGCCCTACAGCGTGGCCCTACAGCATGGGCCTACAGCGTAGCCCACAGCGTGGCCCTACAGCGTGGCCCACAGTGTGGCCCTACAGCGCGGCCCACAGCTTGGCCCTACAGCGTGGCCCTACAGCGTGGCCCAAAGTGTGGCCCTACAGTGTGGCCCTACAGCATGGGCCTACAGCGTGGCCCACAGCGTGGCCCTACAACGTGGCCCACAGCGTGGCCCACAACGTGGCCCAAAGCGTGGCCCAAAGCGTGGCCACAGGGTGGCCCTACAGCATGGGCCTACAGCGTGGCCCACAGCGTGGCCCTACAGCGTGGCCCTACAGCATGGGCCTACAGCGTGGCCCTACAGCGTGGCCCACAGTGTGGCCACAGGGTGGCCCTACAGTGGTCTATAACACCACACCGTGGTCGCCCATCCAAAGCGCTATCCAGTTTCGCTCCCTTGCTTAGCTTCCGAGGATCTGTCGAGATCGGCCGCATTGCTGGTCTCAGGCCACTGTGCTGACTCTGTCGCGTGCGGCTCTCTACCATTGTCGTGGTTGTCGTTTGCGTTTTGGTTTGGCAGTGAGCGACGAGAGGAGCAAGCGCCAGGAACGGGATCAGAGGGCGACTGCAGAGCGGAACGTTCAGAATGAGATCAAGATGCAGGCCATCAAGAACGAGACCCAGGTGCCTCCTTCGTTCTGCCACCCCCGCTTACCCCCCCCCCCCCCCCCCCCCCCCACACACACACACCAACCACCCTTTACATTTCATCATCATCAGCAGCAGTGATCTATCCGCTGCTGGATGGAGGCCGCTCCGAGCCGTCGCCATCTCTCTCACGATCCCCGTGATGAGCCTCGCGCCTGCACGCGAGCCGGTCTCGCCGTTCCATCTCCCTCGTGGCACGTCGCCTCTGATGCGGCTGCATTTCTCGGCTGTCACCCTGTAGCCCACAGCGTGGCACTACCGTGGTCCTATAACACCGCACGGCGGTCGCCCTGATCCAAAACACAACCCGGTTCCACTCACTGCTTAGCCTCGGAGATCCGTCGAGATCGGCCGCATGGTCAGGACCGAAATCACAGCCTCCTTGCATTCCGGGCGAGGGAGATAACATCTCACCACCGCCCTAAGTGCGCCGTTTCCGCGAACAACAACAATAATAACAACAATGAACGTCCGCGCGCGTGGCGAGTCCTGCAGGTGGCCGAAGAGGCGTTCGTGAGGAAGAGCCACGCCGTCGAGCAGCTGATAGCGCAGGATCTGGAGGAGGAGCGCCGGCAGCACAGCCGCATGCTCAGAAAGTTCATCCACGAGTTGGAGCCGCTGCTGGAGGAGGCCCTCAACATGTTCCTGCTGCAGCTGCTGTCGCCCTGATGGGGTGGCGGGTCGAGGGGTGTGGCCACGCCGCGGCGGGGTGGGGCGACAGCGGTGGTGATGGCACGGCTTGGAGAAATGAGCAGCTGCACGGCCTGGGGGCTGACACATCCACACTCTTCAACGCATTGCGTCCGTTAACTTTTTTTTTAACGTCACGTTGCGCGCAAAATTATTGTAGCCATTTTATTGTTCGCGGTTACGACGACGCCCGTCCGTCCACCGCCGCCGTTGTGGGTCGGTTCTTGGCGCCACCGGAATTCGATTCCATCTCCCGATGGCGCGGGGATTAGAAACGATGGGGTAAGGGGGTGGGATCAGCGAGTTCCTTATACAGATGCCCTCTCCTCTGCCCACCCCAGCGGTGTGAATGGGCACGCTACGGTGCGGTGGGTTTAAGCGTGGGTAACTGTCGCCTCTGACCAGCATGGCAGAGTACGCCAATTGCCCCCTCTGGGCCACACAGCAGAGGGCACCGCTATGCCGCCTTCTCTGCCACATGAGAGCAACGTTTGCGAGATGACGATCGAACCGATATATTTCATTATCCGAGATGAAATTCAGACAAATTAAGTGCGGAACCCGATTATAAAGAGATCGCGGTTTTTTTTTTGGTCACGTATTTTTTTTATTTTTATTCAAGGTTCCAGTCATTGACGATCGGGCTGAGACCAATCCCCTCGATTGCCCCCATTTCGAGAACCCAGTTTGAAACACGGGTCGGCCGAAAAACCCAGCGACCTGAACCGCCCAGGGCCTCTCCGTGGTGGCACCAACCCGGTACCCTCTCTGACCTCTGACCTCCGAGCCACGCACGGGGGAAGGTGAAAGTGGGCAATCAGCCCTTGCAACTCAGCGTGGCTGGCGTCGTGTTATCATCATCATCATTATTATTATTTTGGCTCGTGAAACATCGTACCGGATGCACGGGTGTTTTTTTTTCTGTGTGTGTTGTTGTTGTTGTTTGTTGTGGCGCAATAGTTATTTGACAGCGTGTATCGTATTTATTCCTGCAGTGTGCCGTGTCCGCTTTGAATCCCGGCTGCGGCTGCTGCTGCTGCTGCACCCCGTGACCGAATGTTGGGTTGGAGAGGAGGAACGAGGCGGCGTTGTTGGGAGACCACGGAATGATCGCGCGGGTGTTTTTGTTTTGTTGTTGCGACGATGTGAAGGGCAATCAACCGAGAACGGCAAGCGAAGGAGTTCATTAGCATCATCGCCGTCGTAGTAGTAATGAAAATTATTGTGTTAGCATTTACAGGACGTTGCTTTGGTTCCACCACGGTGGCGAGATGGTCGATACCTCGCCCGGTATACAGGAGGGTCGTGGATTCAATCCCCATCTGGGCGCCGGTATATTTAGAGTTTGCGCATCTCTCTCCGCCCGTGGTCGCGTGGATTTTTATCCGGATCCTTCGGGTTTCCCCTCCACATTTAGAATCGGCAGGCGTTTAGCGTATTTTTTGGCTGATATACATTTCCGAGTGATAAGTCACTTCGTTGAGCTATCATTTGCGATACCAGCCTTACCTGATAAAATAACAAAAAAATATTGTGAAGAGTCTGCATCTCAAAGCAGCGCCTTCCATCACATCTCAATTGAATAATTCAAAGGGCACCCCCCCCCCCCCCCCACACCGTGGCAGCTGTCTCTGTGCAGCACAAGGTGACTCAGCATCTGGCCCTGCCAAGTAGCCATTAGTCGTGCCAGTAGGGCGTCGATTGCTTCCGCTGCTGCTGCTACTGCCGTGTTTATTCCCCCGCTGAGCAATTTAGCGGAGTAATTTTTCTCAACTTGGTACGAGTGAACTCGGAGGGCAGGGAAGATGATGATGATGATAATTCATCATTTGGAGCTGCACAACGCCGTGCCCCCACACGATGTTCCCTCGCTCTCGAATGCTGAGAGAAAGAACGACTTGAAGAGAGAGGGCGACTCAGAAAGAGAGAGAGAGAGTGAGAGGATGACTCGGTGAGAAAGGATGATTCAGAGAGGACGACTCAGAGAGAGAGAGGACGACACAGAGAGAGAGAGAGGACGACTCGTTAAGGATGACCCAGAGAGATAGACGACTCATAGAGAGGGAGAGGATGACTCAGACAGGACGACTCGGAGAGGATGACTCAGACAGACAGAGGACGACTCCGAGAGAGCGGACGACTCAGAGAGAGGGGACGACTCAGAGAGAGGGAGAGAGAGGACGACTTGGAGGCGCCAGGAGGAGAAACCGAGGATGAGCGATAAGGCAGCAGCAGCAGCAGCAGTCACGCGGTGATGACGAGGAGCCGGCTCTACCAACACTTGCCCAAGCTCTGCGGTCCTCTATATATTAAAATGTTTTCAGCCAACGAATGAGTGCGTTTACATTTGATGGTCATGGTCACACACTTTGTTATCTTGTCAATCAAATAAGAAAACTTCCCCCGGTGGTGCACTCGCTGCTTTCTCAACGCCGGCGACTGAGTATCGAATTCCTGGCCCTTGGTTCGCACAGGTCCCAAGTGGCATCATGAACGTGGCGTGACAACTTTTATTTGGTTGTCTTTGTCAGGTGGCTAGGAGATGTTAACTACCTCGCCTGGTATACAGGAGGTCGTTGGTTTCGATCCAGACTCTGACGCCTGCTGCTGCTGCTGTATATTTGGAGGTTGCGTGCCTCTCTCTCATTCCCCGTGGATTTGTTTTTGTTCTCGACAACTCCGGGTTTTTCTCCCTCCACATTGAGAGTCGGCATCACTTCATTGAGAATATTTGGCCGCTGTAAATTTCCACACGATAAGCCGCTTGGTTGAGCTATCACTTGTGATAGCCAGCTCGCTTCTGAAAAAAGAGCTACATTGTAGCTCAGTGGTGGTCTTTACCTGGTCAAATAAAACGTAGTTTAGTTTGTTTCGGTGGTGGATGGTTACGTATAAACGAAATACACGCCTTCTACACGACTGTCTAACCCAAAATAACTAAATTATGAGTCACGATATCTGTGTTCTAGATTCGACGAATAACGACAGCAGGACTGACTCGTGCCTGAGATCAGCAAGGCACGTTCAAAAGCCAAGTCGAAACAAAAAAAAGCAATGCCCGCGGAACTATGACGTCATGCCATGACGTCATGCTACGACGCAATGACGCAATCCCCCACCACCATGTGACTGCCCAACAACGTGCACTGGTTTGTCTCACGGTCGCACCCTAGAGGCTATCACGCCTTCCTCTCGCCCTAATCCACCACATCATCGTTACGCTCACGGTCGCGAACATTTCACGCTGTAGGCGGCGCGCTCCGTCTTCGCAAAAATTTTGAAAACAAATCTCACGGTGGTTGCCAAGGGGGACCCCCCCCCCCCACCCAAACTCGTAGCTTTTGCCATGAGAAGGGTGGGTGTGTGGTGGGCAAGGCACCAGCAGGCCAATGCAAGTGTAGTATCAACGATTCAGAGACAGAGGCTCGAGGGAGGCACTTTCTTCATGAACAATTTTCACGGTCTCGTCCCCACACTCTCCACGGTAGCTCAGCCTAGCCTGTACACAACACTAACCGTCTAACACTGACGGCGCTGACTGAGCTAGTCAACTGCTCTCCTTCGCAGTGCAATATCTAGCGGAGACGTTCAGCGACGAGGCGACAGCGACGACGAGACGAGTCCACTCCCAGCACCGGCAGCCCCGAGCTCCCCGGCTCTCGGCTACTTTTATGCTCCCAGCGCGGCCCTGGCTCCGCCCCTGACCACGCCTCCCTTCTCGAACCCGCTAGCAGGTTCCAGGGGCCTCCAGATGGGGTCCTCCGTGACCCTAGCCCCAGTTCCTCCCCTCTGCCCACACACCGTGCACACCCTCACCCGCGTGTGTGCTGTCTGTCCACCACATTTGCCGCTGCTGTCCACCAGCCGGCGCTATGACACTACACCCAGATGAGAGCCCTCTCACCCAGATGAGAGGGCTCTCATCTGGGTGAGAGAGCCCTCTCCGGGGGTAGCGCGAGAGGTTTAACGCTCAGCTGTTCAGTGCAGGTTAAAATAACACCGTGATTGAGATGCAACCTTAAGATAACGTTTGTGAACGAAAATAAATGTGCATATATCATTTCATCCAAGCTGTTATTCTACGTGTAAGTCACCGAATTCAACAATGTAATACGACGAAGGTGGAATCTTTGGATAATATGAAGAAGATGAAAAAATAATCATCGACAGCCCTTTCTCAATCCACTGCTGGATGAAGGCCTTGATCACACTGTGTCACCCGTAGAGGGGTTATTTTGACCATACCTCACCACGCTGGTCCGTGCTGCTTCGTGAAGGAAGTGGGATGGTGGAACCAAAAATAACCCACGCACTGATATTACAGGCGCACTGATGTCACTCCCACTAAGATTTGAACCACACATTGATATCACTGCCACTAGGATATCACTGCCACTAGGATATCACTCCCCCACTAGGATACCACTCCCATGAGGATATCACTCCCACTAGGATATCACCCACACTAGGATATCACTCCCACTAGGATATCACTCCGACTAGGATATCACTCCCCCCCCCACCCTAGGATATCTCCCCCACTAGGATATCACTCCCACTAGGACATCTCCCCCACTAGGATATCACTCCTCCCCTAGGATATCTCCCCCACAAGGATATCACTCCCCAACTAGGATATCACTCCCACTAGGATATTACTCCCACTAGGATACCACTCCCACTAGGCTATCACTCCCCCACTAGGATATCTCCCCCACTAGGATATCACTCCCACTAGGATATCACTCCCACTAGGATATCTCCCCCACTAGGATATCTCCCCCACTAGGATATCACTCCCCCACTAGGATACCACTCCCATGAGGATATCACTCCCACTAGGACATCACTCCCACTAGGATATCACTCCCACTAGGATATCACTCCCATAAGGATATCTCCCCCACTAGGATATCACTCCCACTAGGATATCACTCCCACTAGGATATCACTCCCCCACTAGGATACCACTCCCACTACGATATCACTCCCACTAGGATACCACTCCCACTAGGATATCACTCCCACTAGGATATCACTCCCCCACTAGGATATCTCCCCCATTAGGATATCACTCCCCCACTAGGATACCACTCCCACTGCGATATCACTCCCACTAGGATACCACTCCCACTAGGATATCACTCCCACTAGGATATCACTCCCACTAGGATATCACTCCCCCACTAGGATATCTCCCCCACTAGGATATCTCACCCACAAGGATATCACTCCCACTAGAATATCACTCCCACTAGGATATCTCCCTCACAAGGATATCACTCCCACTAGGATATCACTCCCACTAGAATATCACTCCCATTAGGATATCACTCCCACTAGGATATCACTCCCATTAGGATATGACTCCCCCACTAGGATATCACTCCAATTAGGATATCACTCCCATTAGGATATCACTCCCACTAGGATATCACTCCCACTAGGATATCTCCCTCACAAGGATATCACTCCCACTAGGATATCACTCCCACTAAGATATCTCCCTCACAAGGATATCACTCTCCCACTAGGATATCACTCCCATTAGGATATCTCCCCCACAAGGATATCACTCCCCCACTAGGATATCACTCCCACTAGGATATCACTCCCACTAGGATATCACTCCCACTAGGATATCTCCCCCACAAGGATATCACTCCCCCACAAGGATATCACTCCCCCACTAGGATATCACTCCCACTAGGATATCACTCCCACTAGGATACCACTCCGATTAGGATATCACTCCCACTAGGATATCTCCCCCACAAGGATATCACTCCCACTAGGATATCACTCCCACTAGGATATCACTCCCACTAGGATATCACTCCCCCACTAGGATATCACTCCCACTAGGATATCACTCCCCCACTAGGATATCACTCCCCCACTAGGATATCACTCCCACTAGGATATCTCCCCCACTAGGATATCTCCCCCACTAGGATATCACCCCAACTAGGGTATCACTCCCACCAGGATATCTCCCCCACAAGGATATCTCTCCCACTAGGATATCACTCCCACTAGGATATTACTCCCACTAGGATATCACTCCCACTAGGATATTACTCCCACTAGGATAGCACTCCCACAAGGATATCTCCCCCACTAGGATATCACTCCCACTAGGATATCACCCCCACTAGGATATCACTCCCACTAGGATATCACTCCCCCAATAGGATATCACTCCCACTAGGATACCACTCCCATTAGGATATCACTCCCCCACTAGGATATCACTCCCACTAGGATATCACTCCCACTAGGATATCTCCCCCACTAGGATATCACTCCCACTAGGATATCTCCCCCACTAGGATATCACTCCCACTAGGATATCACTCCCACTAGGATATCTCCCCCACT